TGGAGAACATCATGGGGAACATCATGGAGAACGTGGAGAACATCATGGGGAACATGGGGGAACGTGGAGAACATCATGGAGAACATGGGGGAACATGGAGAACATCATGGGGAACATCATGGAGAACGTGGAGAACATCATGGGGAACATGGGGGAACGTGGAGAACATCATGGAGAACATGGGGGAACATGGAGAACATCATGGGGAACATGGAGGACTTGGGGACACCATCGTGCCGACGCGCGCCGGCACCGCCCCGAAGCTCATCCTGGCCTGGGGACACCATGGAGAACATGGAGACATGATGGAGAACATGATGGAGAACATCATGGAGAACGTGGGGGAGCATGGGGGAACATAGAGACACCATGGAGAATGTGGGGGAACATGGAGACACCGTGGAGAACATCATGGAGAACATGGGAGAATGTGGAGAACATCATGGAGAACATGGGGGAACATGGAGGACATGGGGACACCATGGTGCCAACCCGCGGCAGCACCGCCCCAAAGCTCATCCTGGCCTGGGGACACGGGGACAACATGGGGACACCCAGGAGAATGTGGAGAACATCATGGAGCACATCATGGAGAACGTGGGGGAACATGGAGACATCATGGAGAACATGGGGGAACATGGGGACACCATGGTGCCGATCTGCGCCAGCACTGCCCTGAAGCTCATCCTGGCCTGGGGACAGCAAGGGGACACCATGGGGACATGGGGCAACGTGGAGAACATCATGGAGAACGTGGGGGAACATGGAGACATCATGGAGAACATGGGGGAACATGGGGACACCATGGTGCCGATCTGCGCCAGCACTGCCCTGAAGCTCATCCTGGCCTGGGGACTCGGGGACAGCATGGGGACATCGAGACACCATGGAGAACATGGGGAACATGGAGACATGAGGACACCATGGGGACATCATGGGGATATCATGGAGAACATGGGTGAACATGGGGGAACATAGAGACATCATGGAGACATCATGGAGAACATAGGGGAACATGGGGGAACATAGAGACATGGGGCCACCATGGAGAACATCATGGGGACATCGGGGACAACATGGAGGAACGTGGAGCCATGGGGTCCCCATGGCGCCAACACCGCCCTGAAGCTCATCCTGGTCTGGGGACACAGGGACAGCGTGGGGACATGGGGACACCATGGAGAACATGGGGGAACATGGGGAACATAGAGACATGGGGCCACCATGGAGAACATCATGGGGACATCGTGGACAACATGGGGGAACATGGGGGACATGGGGACACCATGGTGCCAACACAGCCCCGAAGCTCATCCTGGTCTGGAGACACAGGGACAGCATGGGGACACCAGATGGGGCAACATGGGGGGAACGGGAGGGACATGGAGGGGACAAGGAGGACATGGGGGGACATGGTAGACATGGAGGGACATGGTAGGACATGGAGGGACATGGAGGACATGGGGGGACATGGAGGGACATGGGACACACAGGATGGGGACAGCAGGGGACGCAGCTCGGCGATGGCGGCACCAGCCCTGCCCCGTGTCCCTGTCCCCTCCCCGATGTCCCCATCCTTTCCCTGGGGACAGGGACATCCGGCCAGCTGTGACTCCCTGTCCCTTCCCCGACGTCCTGGCACGTCCCCAAAGTGGCCTCTGTGTCCTCCCTCCCCCACCGATGTCCCCAACCCTCATTAAGGTCCCCAGCCCCTTCCCGGTCCTTCCACAGGGTCCCCAACCCTCCACTGGTGGCACCAGGCCCTCGTTGATGTCCCCAAACCCTCATTGATGTCCCCAACCTGTCCTAGTCCCCCCATGGTGTCCTCAAGCCATCACTGATGTCCCCAACTCCCCACCGATGTCCCCAAACCTTCAATCATGTCCCCAACCCCTCCTTGAGATCTCCAACGTGCTCCTGATGTCCCCAACACCCCATAGATGTCCCCAATCCCGCACTAATGTCCCCAATGCCCCATAGAGGTCCCCAACGCCCCATAGACGTCCCCAATCTCTCCCTAATGTCCCTAATGCCCCATAGATGTCCCCAGTCCCTCACTAATGTCCCCAATGCCCCA